CTGCCCCTGGCCCCGCCCCTTTCATTCATTGGATGTCAGTTCTGTCAATCATGGAGGCTCAGCGTCACATGTGGGCAGTCTGTATGCAAATACATCCTGCCTAGCAACGCCCGCTCCTCCGGACACACCCACCAAGGCATTTTTATATTTGCATAACCCCTCCCACTGCTTCCACCAGGACTGAGGGAAGGCAAAATATAAGCAGATATAACCGTTCTTGGAATAAGGGAAACTTCTGATGACTCCGCCCACTGAGCCATAAAGATGGCCGCTTTCTATGCGTCTTACCAACGAGCGTCCGCGCACATACAGACGCACGTGCGCACTGCGCAGGCGTGAGTTCGGCCCCCGGGGGAGGTCCAGCGGCGTCTTTCTGTGGGCCGATCTCTTTCCGGGTTTCGCCAGATTTTGTTTTTTGTATTAAAAAAATGTGGATTAAAAAAAGGCAGCTTTTGCTGGAGGGGGAGGGGCTAGTTCACAGATGGCGATCCTGGGAATTATCGGATCGCCGTTTTGGGGTCAGAAATGACTTTATTCTCTGATTTCATTTTTTTTCCCCTCCTCGGGATCAGACACGAGAACTGAACACACATCACGCATAGCCCCTCCCCCCCCGGAGTGTGTGTGAGTGACAGGTCCTCTTTGTGTGTCGGGAATGGCGGTGACGCGCGGCCCGGCGCCGTCTTGTTTGTGTCCTGGTTTCGCAGTCTCCCGCGGTGAGGATAACTAAGTGGGTCACAGACTGTCTGAGTATCACATTATCTGGGGCGCGCACACGCGCGTTGCTCTGCATCCCTCTTGTCGGTCTCATGTTTTGGTGTCGCCGTCAGTCGCGGCGCTTGCACACGCACAGCCCGAGTCCTTCCCGTTGTTGTTCGAGCAGTCTGTACACAACAGGTCCTCTTCCCCTGAAGGAACACACGTGCAGCGGTGATGCCCCGCCGGGCGGTCAGAGAGTGGGGGCCCCGGGGGGCTATTTTGGGGCTCGGTCCTATTTTGCTGGGCTGCTGCGCTCACTGGCTCCCAGTCCCAGGGGGACCATTCCCCGCTGTCCGCTTTCTCTGCTGCGCGCTCGCTAGGTGTGTGCACCGCGACCCCGGCCAGGGGGCGGAGCAATCCGCTCTGCTCTTCATAGCGACACTCGTTGGTCTTAATTCCGACCGCCTTGAGCAGCGTGTCCATCTGCTTCATGTAGTCCAGATGTCCGTTCACCTGCCGAGAGAAGACACAATGGGGCCTAGTTATGAAGAATGTAATTCCTGTGCTCCCCCGCTCCATCTAGTGGCCATAATACAGTATTACATCACAATACATTCGACCAGCAAAGATGACCCTCAGCGCCATCTAGTGGCCATAAGTATGTATGTCCTATGCCCCTCAGCTCCATCTAGTGGCCATAATAAGTATGTATGACCTATGCTCCTTGGCGCCATCTAGTGGCCATAATACAGTATGTATGTCCTATGCTCCTCGGCGCCATCTAGTGGCCATAAGTATGTATGTCCTATGCCCCTCAGCTCCATCTAGTGGCCATAATAAGTATGTATGACCTATGCTCCTTGGCGCCATCTAGTGGCCATAATACAGTATGTATGTCCTATGCTCCTCGGCGCCATCTAGTGGCCATAAGTATGTATGTCCTATGCCCCTCAGCTCCATCTAGTGGCCATAATAAGTATGTATGACCTATGCTCCTTGGCGCCATCTAGTGGCCATAATACAGTATGTATGTCCTATGCTCCTCGGCGCCATCTAGTGGCCATAAGTATGTATGTCCTATGCCCCTCAGCTCCATCTAGTGGCCATAATAAGTATGTATGACCTATGCTCCTTGGCGCCATCTAGTGGCCATAATACAGTATGTATGTCCTATGCTCCTCGGCGCCATCTAGTGGCCATAAGTATGTATGTCCTATGCCCCTCAGCTCCATCTAGTGGCCATAATAAGTATGTATGACCTATGCTCCTTGGCGCCATCTAGTGGCCATAATACAGTATGTATGTCCTATGCTCCTCGGCGCCATCTAGTGGCCATAAGTATGTATGTCCTATGCCCCTCAGCTCCATCTAGTGGCCATAATAAGTATGTATGACCTATGCTCCTTGGCGCCATCTAGTGGCCATAATACAGTATGTATGTCCTATGCTCCTCGGCGCCATCTAGTGGCCATAAGTATGTATGTCCTATGCCCCTCAGCTCCATCTAGTGGCCATAATAAGTATGTATGACCTATGCTCCTTGGCGCCATCTAGTGGCCATAATACAGTATGTATGTCCTATGCTCCTCGGCGCCATCTAGTGGCCATAAGTATGTATGTCCTATGCCCCTCAGCTCCATCTAGTGGCCATAATAAGTATGTATGACCTATGCTCCTTGGCGCCATCTAGTGGCCATAATACAGTATGTATGTCCTATGCTCCTCGGCGCCATCTAGTGGCCATAAGTATGTATGTCCTATGCCCCTCAGCTCCATCTAGTGGCCATAATAAGTATGTATGACCTATGCTCCTTGGCGCCATCTAGTGGCCATAATACAGTATGTATGTCCTATGCTCCTCGGCGCCATCTAGTGGCCATAAGTATGTATGTCCTATGCCCCTCAGCTCCATCTAGTGGCCATAATAAGTATGTATGACCTATGCTCCTTGGCGCCATCTAGTGGCCATAATACAGTATGTATGTCCTATGCTCCTCGGCGCCATCTAGTGGCCATAAGTATGTATGTCCTATGCCCCTCAGCTCCATCTAGTGGCCATAATAAGTATGTATGACCTATGCTCCTTGGCGCCATCTAGTGGCCATAATACAGTATGTATGTCCTATGCTCCTCGGCGCCATCTAGTGGCCATAAGTATGTATGTCCTATGCCCCTCAGCTCCATCTAGTGGCCATAATAAGTATGTATGACCTATGCTCCTTGGCGCCATCTAGTGGCCATAATACAGTATGTATGTCCTATGCTCCTCGGCTCCATCTAGTGGCCATAAGACAGTACTAGATCACAGTACATTCAACCTGAAATTTGCCATTCACATAAAATGAACGGTCTCAGAGTTTTGCAGGGTGAAGGGCCCCTTGCCCTGTTTATAAATAGACTGAATGACTTTTGGGGGTTCAGCCAATCGCCCCTAAAACTGCCGTTTGATTAATCGCTAAACAAGACGAGCCGATGGCTCCCGCTGGTCTCATCTACAGTATGTGGCAGCAACGGAAGACTGATCTCTAATACAAGCTGCAATGATTGCCTAATCTATCGCATGGGCTCCGCTACCCCGCCTCCGCCTAGCAGCTTCCGTCCACGGCTTCTCACACCAATGGCATTCCGATTCCCTTGGATGAAAAAGCTTTTTGCAGGAAAACGGTTAAATCGTAAACCCAGAAAATCACAGCGAGATCCATTCCGGTTCGGTTGCTGCAAGAATCTGATTATGTCGCCGCGTGAGCCGGGGCGTAAAAGTCGTTTCCCGCGCTCCGCGGTCGGCTGGTACAGAGTGACGCGGCGGTAAGTCGCCGGGGAGACAATGCCGCGCCGCCAGACGTATACAAAATGTACACAAATGGAAATCAACAGCTCAAAGGCGCAAAAACAAAAGGCGTGGAAAAGCGTGCGGCGCTAATTACAGGGGGAGGACGCGCGGGGCCCCGTTCTGAGCCCGGAATACGTAACACAGAACGCACCTGCCGCAGTGACGCCCCCTCCCCCTCCCGAAGGGCCGGGAAAAGGACAGCGGG